TTCCACATGGAATTCGGGACAACTTCAGTGTGTTTGTGGTGAGTTTTTTATGGCTTTTCCTTAATTTTTTGGGGTTGTTTTTCGGGATTTAATGTCTTTCGGTACAAGCAGGAAAAAGTGGGAAAAATGGTGCTTTTTTGCTGCCTAAAATTCTGATTTTTCCCAGTTTCCCGAGGAAAAAATGGGAAACGGAAGAAAACAAATGAGGAAAAAATCAAAAACCTTCAAAAAACACTAAAAAAAGTGAAAAAAAATAATGAAAAATGAAGAAAAACATCAAGTGAGGCTAAAAATGACTCTTAGTTTGTCCCAAAAGGGGATAAAAAGATGGAAAAAGACTTTTGAAAAAGTCGGGAATTGCCGAAAACTTCGGAGTTGGGAAAATTCGAAGTGGAAATTAAATAATAGAGGAGTTTGCGGAGATGCCACGGGAAGGACTCCTTGTGTTTGTGGAAAAATGAGGAAAAATATCAAAATATAGGAAAAAACGTGCTAATGAGGCATCTCGGGGCTCAGTGGCCCCAATCTGGGCCCAAATATCCCCAAAGTTCAGGGCAATTACCCCAAAATTCCAGGGTTTGGTGGTTTGGGAACCTCCGGAGCCGCCACGGGCGGGGTGGGACCGTCCCGAAATTCCGGGGGAAGAGGAAGGAACGGGATGAAACCAAGAACGTCCCTGGGAGCTCCGACAGGATGGAATTTCCGGAGGACACGTGACCCCAAAAGGGCCAAAAATGAGCCCAAAAGCTCCAAACCCGAGGATATTCGGGGGGAAAACGCCCCCAAGCTGTGATTTCCGTGGAATTTCGCCCCTTCGTGGTGTTTCCGGTGTCGTCGCGTCGCGGATTCCGGTCGGTGTCATTCCCGGTGTTGGGAGTTGCTTCCTTTCCATGAGTAGTAATAAATTAGAGTTAGCAATTCCCAGTTATTCCCAGTTTTTCCTCGGAACGGCTTCAGAGTGCCTCGAAATCCCGTTTTTCGTGGTTTTTCCCAACCCCCTCCCTTGTGGAAGGGCCTCCAAATCCACGTCCTGGAGCATTTCCAGGGATGGAGCAGCTCCAGGAAGCCCCTTCCCAACCTTTTCCCATCCTGGAATAGCTCCAGTTGGATTGAATCCATAGGGATCATTCCTCGTGGGAAGATTACTCCTCAAAAAACCCGAGGAATTTTGAATTATTTAAGCCAAAAATTCCTATGGGTTTTCTTTTTCCCCCCTCCAAGATTCCAAAGGAAAAGGCGGAAAAAAATCAAGTTTGATCCCAAAATTTTGATCGCAAACCTCGATCCCAAAATTTCACACCCCACACTCCCCCGTTTCCCTCCTTGTTTATTTGGGGGGATTTTTTTTGGAACGATCCCACAAAAGAATCCACAGATTCCCTCTCGGGAAATCTCGGATTTCCAGGGAAAAACGGGGATACTCTGTCGCCCCCCCCCCGCCCCGATCCGGCATCCCTGGGAATTCCAGGAGCCCTTTTCCCGGTTCCCGGCGCCGTTTCCCGCCCGGATCGCGCCGGGAGGACACAGGAAAGGGCCGATCCAGGCGGGAGGAAGAGGAGGGGGAAAGGGGGGGCGGAGGGGGGGGCCGGGAATGGTTTTCCCGAAGCCGGGAATGCGTTTCCCGGTCCCGGGAGTGATTTTACTCTGTCCCAGGAATGTTTTTCCCGGTCCTGGGAATGTTTTCGCGGTCCCGGCGATGCTCCGCTCGATCCCGGGAATGTTGTTCGGGTCCCGAGAATGCTTTTCCCGGTCCTGGGAATCTTTTATCCCGGTGCGGGAGATGCTCTAATCGGTTCCGGGAGCGACTTTCCGGGCGCTGGGAATGTTTTCCTGGTCCCGGGAATGTTCGTCCCGGTCCCGGGGAGGCTCTGCCCGGTCTGGGAATGCTTTTTCTCATCCCGGGAATGTTTGTCCCCGTCCCGGGAGTGATTTTTCCCAGTCTCGGGAATGTTCATCCTGGTCCCGGGGATGATTTACCGTGTCCCGGGAATGTTTATCCCGGTCTGGGAATGCTGTTCCCGGTCCTCGGCGTGATTTTCCCAACCCCTGGAAAAAAAGAGGGAAAACAGACAAAAAAAAAAAAGGGGGAGGGAGAAAAGTCCAAAAAAGGGGGGGAAAATCACAAAAAAAAGTGGGAAAACACTGAAATAAAAGGGGGAAAACACCAAAGAGAGGGAAAAGACAAAGAAAAGAGGAATAGAAAAAGGGGGGAAACATAAAAAAAAGGGGAAAACACCAAAATTATTGGAAAAAACGTAAATAAAAGGAGGAAAACACACAAAAAAGGGGGATAAGAAATAAAAAAAAAAAAAAAATAGGAAAACCCACCAAAAATAAAGAGGATTCGTCCCAAAAGTGTCCATGTGGGGAGGGAGAAGTGCTTTGGGAACGCCGGGAATGGCGAGAGAAGGACCCGCGGAATTACAACAATAACCATTTTTATTGATATTAAGAATATTCGGGGCCGGTTTTTCCGGCTCCTCCTCGTTCCCAGGTGCCGGAATCTCATCCCAGGGGGGTGGGTGGGGTTGTTTTTTTTGGGATCAAGTCCCTGGAGGGACCCCCGGGGCTGCCTCGAACCCTGGAATTCTCATCACAGCCCCCCCCGCATCCCAAAAATTCCCGACCCCCCTTTAGTGCAATTCGGCTCCTGACGCGGCTTCTGCTGGGAAAAGGGGGGAATTCTCCCCGGAAAAGCTGGAATTCCACGGGAATGGGGTTAAAGGAGGGTCCCTCCCCCCACTCAGGGTGTTCCCAGCTCATCCCATTGATGGGAATATGGAATTCTGTGGGATTTGGATCTGCCCCCCCCCTCCCCCAGTTCACCCATCGAAATTTTGGGGTGAATCCCAAAATCCATCAAAGTCCAGAGATTTATTCCACCCCTTCCCCCCCCCAAATTCCAAATTCCCCAAAACTCCCAAATTCCAGGATTTTAACCCCAAAGCTCCCCAAATTTTGGGAATAAACCCCCAAATTTCAGGGATTTATCCCAAACACCCACAAATTCCAAGAGTTCAGTCCCCCAAACTTCCCAAATTCCAGGGATATAACCCCACAACTCCCCAATTCTGGGAAAATCCCCCAAATCCCCAAAAGTTTCAGGATGTGAATCCCAAAAGCACCCAAATTTCAAGGGTTTATCCCCAACCCCCCCAAAATTCCAGGGATTTAAGCACACACACCCCCCAATTCCCAGGATTTAACCCTAAAATCCTCCAAATTCCAAGAGTTTAACCCCAAATGCCCCCAAATTTCAGGGATTTATCCCAAACACCCACAAATTCCAAGACTTTAATCCCCCAAACTTCC